CTGGAAAAATAAAAAAAAAAATAAAATAGCATAAAAATCAAACAAGTTCGTTTAAGCTCCTGCTGCACGGCTCGACCTGGTTCGCCTAAGATATGTGAAGATTTCCCTAACCCTACATTCTCAAAAACAAGTACTCATTAGAACCTTGAGGGCGGCCTTTCACAATGTGTGCAGAGAGACGTTGGACGGACTTAGCGCCAGAGCTGCGATGGAGGAACGACGCTCGTTTTGGCATCAACTTTGGACTTTAGACTTTTTGCTTTGGAGACATGAGTAAATAGAGGTATTTGTCTTTTTGTTTAATGATGTATTTGCTTCTTCTTCCCTGTTGACTGATTTTAATGAATATATCACGTTGTTTGTTGCTCTGACTGGTTTCAACTCTGTCCAACTGTGTGCAGAAACAACTTGAAAGACAACCAAAGAATTTTCCCCATGACTGAGCTCTGCCAATGGACTGTGGCCAGATTATAATTGTGCATATAGGATGGCTTGCCAAGCTAATATAGTATTGCATTAGAGCAATAAACTACACAGTTATAGGAAAACTGGACTCAGAAAATCGCTGTCATTCTATTCATCTAGAGTTATTTTTAGAAGTTTTGAATGTTTTTAATCTTGGCCACACCCCAAACATCATCTACACAAACCCCCAGAGTTCATTCCATCCATTCTTCCAGAACTTCCTCGATTCTTTGGGGCTTCAGGATGTCCACTCATCCTCATTAGGTCAGAATGGCCTTAAATACTCTTCCCATTCTGGTCAGTTGGTTAACTACTCAATTACCGTGGTAGAGTGAAGCATGTCAGGGATCTGGTCCATGGATGGGGGTATCAGCTGAGTTCTGTGATGTTCTCCTGACTGTGTGACTTAGTGAGGACTGATTGTGTTCACACAATTTGAATCTTTCTGTGTGCCGGTCCGGCTTTTGTGTTTGTGTGCATCATTGGAGGGCATATTGACAGATGGCCTGCTCTCCATGAGGAAAGAGGAGCTGAGTAAATGAGAGAGGAGGGGGGGAAAGGGGAGCAAGGGAGTGAGAGTTGGCTCTGTCCTGAATCGCTCTGCCTGCGTTTGATAAAGGAACAAATTCACTCAGCTGCAGCGTTTCTCAAGAAGCGCTCCATCACCACTAATTCATGTCTGCACTTTGGACTCGTTTGCTTACAAAGACTCATGTCTCCCTCGTCTCCGATTCTCCCTCGTCCTTCTTTCATGGTGACAGGTGGCCGGTAGCTCCCTCCCCTCCTGTCTTCTCATCTGCCTGCCTTTTCCTGCACTCCATCAAACAGACTCTGAATTTTCTGCTCGGGGGTCAGATATGATCCTTGTGAATTTTTCAAACGTCTGAAACTCTCCAGACGGCAGGAATTTAAGAAACCTCGTGGGCATTCAAGCATTCATTCGTAGAGTCTCCTTTTTTTCAGAATGTGTGGAGACATTTTTTGGTATAAAATCCCCAATGAGCTGCAGACACATATGCGACGTTGGGTCTAAAACAAGTAAAGTGACTATGTGTTTAATTATTTATGAATATTCCAGGCTTTGGAGTCTTGTGTTTTTATTCAACCTATAAATATAATATTACAACAACCCTAAATAAGCTGTAATATACAAACTTTACTTAAAACATATTTTCTGACTAAAACAGAGAAATAAATCGGATTTCATTTGGAGTCTATCTATGCAGATGGCCTTTCAGTAATGCAATGTGGGTCTAAAATATGCATCCCTTGTGTGTCATTTAGCGTTCAATGTGCTCGATATTCTTTCCTAATGAGCTTTACCTTGTGGAGTCTGGTTTCACAATTCTGCTGAGCATCTGCACTGGATCAGTTTCAGGGTATTTAAAGTGTCAAAGAAAAAAAGTCCCATGAATCAGACACTTGTGAGTAAAACCTCAACCCGCTTCACGTTCTCACGTAATAAACCACACTTCCCTTTTTGTTTTATTCTACTGTGGAAATGATGCGAAACACACGTACATGTTTGTATGAGCTCATGGATTCAACCATTGCCTGTTGGGCCAAGTGATGTCCTGATTATCCATCCAATAATTTCTCAAAAAGAAAAAAACTTTTTTTTTCCCACCACATGAATAAATACACCTCTATCTTAGAGTTGTGCTCAACTCAAGCCAATTAAGTTTAGCGCTGTAGTGTGGTTAACTACAACGGTAGAACCCGCCCCACAACCGAGAGACGTCAATGGAGCATGGCCAGACTAAATAATACATTTATTTAGTCTGGCTTGCCAGGCTAGTGTTTTTGTTCTGCTCAGCAACTAAACCACACACACTGAATGAACCTGAGCAGAACAAAACCACGGGACTTGTTGATGCCACAATTTCCAAACTCTGTTGTCCAAATCACGACAAAGGGCATCTCAAGGCACTTCATAGTAAACATTCCAATTAATTTCAGTTCATTAAGCCAATCAGTAAAAAGTTTCCTATATAAGGAACCCAGCAGATTGCATCAAGTCACTGACTGGTGTCGGAGTCTTTACAGCAATCCTCATACTAAGCAAGCATGCAGCGACAGTGGAGAGGAAAACTCCTTTTTAACAGGAAGAAACCTCCAGAGAATCCTGGCTCAGTATGAGCAGCCATCCACCACGACTCACTGGGGATGGAGAAGACAGCACCTCGTCACTTGTGTTGAAATAGCTAGCTAGCTGTGAGACAACAGTCCTCAGAGCTGGCTTCTCTCAGCTGAACCAACAAAGGTGCAACCAGATCTCTTCTACGTGTTGTGGATTAATGCTGATATATATATATATATATATATATATATATATATATATATATATATATATATATATATATATATATATGTGTGTGTGTGTGTGTGTGCGTGTGTGTGCGTGCGTGCGTGCGTGTGTGTGCGTGCGTGTGTGCGTGCGTGTGTTTTATACATGATTGGGTCACATGGAGCTTATGTTACACCCCTGAAACAGGGGAGAAAGAATCACGAGTGATTTGTGAGCTGCTTCTCTCATGCAGTTGTTTAATGCAATGAAAAATGAATATGCATGTTTTACATTCCATATTGTCTCAGGTCATACAGTGGAAGGAGACAATTATTAAACAAAATAGTCAGAATTTACTGAATAAAGTTCTTCAGCAAAAGTGGTACCAGAGGCATTTCTAGCACTTGCCGTTAGCTAATAGCTATCACCGTGTGGTCGACTGAAACATCCAAATACAGTCTAACTACACACAAAGCCTCTTAGGTGTGTTCTTGCTGTGTCTTTCTAAATCCATGCTTTCGTTCTTTTTTTAAACACAGAAACAGTTTTGTTTACCTGTTTGTAGCTACAGTTTCGCCGACGGCTGCCGGCTTCTTCAGGCTGACGCTGATGGTCTACACAGCCATCAGCGTCAGCCTGAAGAAGCCGGCAGCCGTCGGCGAAACTGTAGCTACAAACAGGTAAACAAAACTGTTTCTGTGTTTAAAAAAGAACGAAAGCATACACACAAAGCCGACATAAAATAATCTACAAGTCACAAACACCTACGGTTCATCTATCCAACCGACTTAGAAAGCCTACGGTTTATATATAGATCTTGTTTTCATCACATTACTTGAAACAGGGGAGAAAGAATCACGAGAGTGACTAAGGAGCTGCCTCTCTCATGTTATTTAATGCAATGAGGAGCGAGTGCACTCGTTTTCCCCCTAGTGGAGGGCTAAGTCCCTACCAGTCAATCTCAGATAAGGCTTGTTAGTCGATTGCCGATACACAATTCACTCTTTTTTTAGCAAAAATTAATCTAACATAAAATGTAACATGAAACATTAGCTTTTAAACAGTATAGTTAATATATTTACGTTGGTCTGTTTTTTATCTGCATGAACTGCTATGAATTCACTGTGAAGCTTTGTTACTGTAAACTGTGCATTTCTTACCACACTATTGTTCAAATGAAATCAGCCTTATAACAAATAACGAACAGTGACTGGATCCTTCTTGGAGCTGCATACACTGTAAATTGCATTTACGCCTTTTTGTTGTCCCAACGTTTGATTTCATGTTAATATAACAAGGCTTTTGTATTGTTGTTGTTATAAATTAGAATAATTAGTTAAACACATCTCAACAACACTAAAAATGTTAAACAATAATTTTATGTCCAGTCAAGTAAATTATCCAAGTCTACTTGACTTTTGAGCATTAAAATATATGTCCACTGGGTGGCGGTAAGTGGCGCAAAGTTTGTTTCGCATGTGCCTATGATAACGGAAGAAGAAGTCAACGGAGCTCTCAGCTCAGTCAAGCAGTCTTTCATGCGTGCAATGTTCTGTCCAGAAGGACTAACGACTCCATTTAGGGTTAAAACCAACTACTTTGTCCATCTAAAGGTGACACTGAACCAGTTCAACAGAGGCCCACCACTTTGGTAAGTTTTCTTTGGGTTTATGTTGAATTTGAATTTGTTAGTTGTTAAATAGCATTAGCTTGATTAGTCATAGTGAAATGAATAAATAAAAGGTCTGAACCTGAAAGTAAATCATGTAATTCTAAGTTTAATGTTGAATGTAACTTAGTATATCTTATATTTGAATGTTAGAAGTAGGTAACTCGCTGTTTGTTGGTTAGCATAGCAGGGTTGGCGGGGAAATTGTTTTGGGAAATGTTTACTCGGTAACACGTTAATTAACCTTTTTTCCGAAAATGTATACTCATAAAATTAAGCTAAATGCTCAAAGCCGGGTCCACATGTGCGCATCTGTGGCGCGAAACAGCAGCGGAATCTCGCAGCATCTCAGGTGTTCTCCTCGCTAAACTCCGTACGTCACGTGACCCTCAGAGAGTAGACGCCATGCATTTACTTCACACTTTAAAACCGAATAAATTGTTTTATATAGTCAGTATTCATTTAAATAATGAAACAGAAATAATTAATCAAAATATTAGGTGATACTTGCAAGTTAGTTCTGTGAAATGTTGACCTCATTAATCATGAATTATTTACCTAAGTTTTACCTATTTCAGATTCTATTTTAAAGGTGCCCATGATGAAAAGGCCTTTTACACCGTATGAAGTGGATCTGTAAACTTGGTACTTTTTTCTGTGGAAATCGTAAGTGCATCATTGAACATTATCAAAGCAATCACAGACATTAAGGCAGAACTTGCCCTTTGCCCTTCATTTACAATTACTGCTCACAGTATTTCAGATCCAAACAATCCTTGCATGTCCATCTGAGAGATCATGGACTCAATGAAAACACTAATGGACTAATAAGCTTTAAGGTAAAATGTTTGTTGTTGTAAAATTAAAATTGTACATGTGTTGCAAGTTTGCAACTAGATTTTTTTTTTTTTTGTTCTTGAATGTTTCTCAGCCTGGTATTTGGAGCACCTTCATTGTTACGAATTCTGCAAGAAAGATCCAGATCAACTGATGGCCACTGAACCCAGTGAACTGAACCACTACCTTCCACTGTCATCCTACGCTGTCCAAGGCCGACTGGTGATTTCTCCAAAGGTGTTTCTTGTACATTGAGGTGAGTTATTGTATTTTGGCTATTTTTGTTCTTTCTCCAAATGTTTGTCACCCTAAAAGTAGTAAATGGAGCTCAACTACTTCCATGAATGGTGTCAACATTTATTCATCTCTGAGCCATTGGATGGTACTTAATGATACAAGACAGTACTAAGAGCTCATCACAAAAACATGTTTTTGTAAGCTGAACCTTGTAAAATTTTAGCAATATTGTCCACAGACAACCTTGTAATGTAGCAAGTTGGTGAAATGATGGACATCACATTCCCCCTACGAAGAAAAGAAATAGTTGAAAATCAACCTCCTGCAGCTGAAGTCAAAGAAGGGTGGCCAGCCCTGTTCAAAGAACAGCAGGTACATTTAGATTTTTCTCTTTCACACATTTGTCAACTTTTTGTCTTTTTTAAAAAGTTGTGTAAAGTTGCAAATTTTGTTGTTGTCACCTTCAATTACAGATTGAAGCAGAGTTTGCTCGGCTGACATCTGTTGACCTGAAGAAGTCTTTCTTCAGTGGACTGGATTAGCATTTGCCAAGGTTCCTGGAGCTGTTCAAGGCCAAGAGTGGGAAATCAGCTGGACAAAGCAGGCAGCTTAAATGTCTTGATGACGTAAGCAAATAAATGTTCACATATTTTTTGTTAGTATTAGTAACATTTCCTTTGGAGATTATTTACAGTTTTACCAGTTTTCAGTATTTAACAGTATTTTCTAATACAGAGAAGAAGAAAATTATGTTAACATTTTGTTGGGTTATTGTCTTTAGGTGAATAGAATTCAGTCATGCCTTTTAGGAAATCCATCAAATTTAAATTATCTTTGAAACAATCTGCCTGTGTAAATTTAGCACAAAAAAAAAAGCATGTTTCTACACAAAATTACCACAACCCCAGTAGCTTTCCTATAGTGATAGGTCAGAGTTCGAAAAACTTATCAGAAAAATTCTATTCCAAAAGCTATAGTATTTAGAATTAAAAAAATGGCTAAAGGCTGCCAAATCCCCCCTCCCAATAAAACAAAAACAGAAAAACTGTCAGTCAACACAAATTCTGTAGCAGACTTCTATTGCAGTACAGGTTTGTAAGAAGAATTTGAAGTGAAAATGTCCAACTAATCAATTGAATATAGAAAACAGAATAAAAGAATCAGGATATCAATAATTTGTTATTCTCTTTATAATTAGTTGTTTTGTCTTTGTTTTTTCTCAGTCCTCTATACTGAGGAAGAGGTCAGTTGTTCTTCCGGTGCCTTCCGTATTTTCTCAAGGATGATCCTTCAAATGCATTCAAGACTGTTCAGGTGAGCATTTGTATCAAAAATGATCTGTGAACAATTTCTTTATAAGTGAAAGTAGTGATGTGATATTAGATGTAGTTATATAAAGAAGGGTTTTAAAGCCATACTATGCAACTTTTTCACATTATTAAATCACTTTCTGGAGCCAGTATGTGCTAAAATGAACCTTTGCTGGGGTGATGAAATGTCACACAGACCCTAAAGCTTGGTTTATGCTTGACGCATTCACTTTCCGCGCGGTGATGCGGCTTGCGGATGGAACACGCTTCACGACTCGCAGCGTTTATGGTTCGTGCGGCTCGTCTCTGCGGTGAGCCAATATTCTCCCAAACTGAACGGGGCAGCATGGAGCTCTACGGCATGCATCCAACACTACACCATAGTAGAAGTAGAAATTACTGTTTACAACATGGCATTTCAGCATTTTTTAACAGCGTCCTCGTCTTTTCTGACAGTGCGAGCTATTTCTCTCCAAGAATTATTAACAAGTTGATCACGGTGATCTCTGAGAGCTGAATCATACAAATGTCTGTATTTACCAACCTCTGCCATACTAGTTCTTGCCGGTCCGCCATGTTTTTACGCGTCCGACCGTCCGCGTGGTTAGAAATTTTCCTAGGTGCGCGTTGCGGAAATTTTGGGCCGTGTGGAGATGTGGTGGAGGGGTGTGGTTGTTAAAATGACGCAACTTTTCCGCGCGGAGCCGTGCGGACACGTCAAGCATAAACCAACCTTTACCGCCCGCTGTTCTGCAGCTCTCCTCAATGAGAGGGGGGATGGGGGCGTTGCACACGTTCCGCTGCTGTTTCTCACCAGTATCAGCTGATGGAGGACTCTAGCTCTGTTGTGCCGTTCGTGTCAGCGGACACGGTCGGGGAAGTGGGCGGGGCATGACGCTTAGCCTGGCAAGTGGGCAAACAAAGCCTGCTAAGCGCTGGGGGAAACCCTGAAATATGAAAAAGTTGCAAAGTATGCCTTTAAAAGGGCAAACGCACAGCGAGGAGATACGTTTCAATTCTGCTTTGACCACAAACAGACACCAGGGGGCACTAAAAACAAGCAAAACTGCCTAGTCTCCTTTTAACAAGGTTGTCTGTAGAATTATCCAAATATTGCAAGGGGTCATAGTGAGTAATTTGCTTTATAACTTGTGTAGGCCATTGACGAGGAAGCCACATTCACTCGGGGAATGCAAGTTGGAGTTCTGCTGGTGAAAGATGGAGAGGACATCATTGCCACATCAGTCATTCTTGAGGAACAAGTGGTCCTGCCTGATGTGGAGGACATTCCTCATGCCATTGCTCTACTGTTGGGTCTGCTTTTTGCCTTTAATATAGACTATCCAAAGGAACTCAGGTACACATTTGAAGTTTTTCAAAAGGTCCTGATGAACATCGGCAGAGGTCAGTGTTCCTTGTGCATGGTTTGAGAAACAGACTGTTACAAAAAACCATGTAGATTCTCCTGAAATGTCTCATCTCATGACTCATGGGTGTCTGAGCTTTTTGAAAGCACTCAACGTTTCATGTTAAACATTGTTCCAAAGGTCATGTAGAAGTTTGGCACATGGTTTGGAATTCTTGTTTTGTTATTTCATCTGTTTAGGTTTATTCCATCAGAAAATATAGTCATATCAGTTCAAAGCCAATCAAATGCATAGGTTGATAAAAAGTATTGCAATAAAGAGGTCAACATAAGACCAAACGATAGATGACAAGATTAAAATGTGCACTATTTGTTTAGAACTACTATTTTGAATAGTATCATTTTGAATTTTATTTTATTGTTTTTATTTGTGCAAGGTTTTGTCAGATGCTTTAAAAGTTTATGCACTTGAATTAATGTGCAATGACTTGTCTCATTTAAGACACTAAATATGTTCTAACTATAAGACCTTGATAAGCTGCTGTGTTAATGTTTTTTTTTGAGTGCAGACTGTTCTAAAACGTTTTCACTATTCATTACAAAACAAAACAGCTTCAGTAAATGTTGCAGAGCTGTAACTTCATTACTGCTAAATAAATAAAAAAACTAGCTGAGTTGATGAACATGTTTGTATTGTTTCTGTTTTTGGAGGTGAAATTTATCACTAAATGGATCATTTTGTGTGAAATGTACATAAATTAATCATATGAATGTTTTAAATTTCCAATATACAGTGCCCCCATCTTTTTTCGATATGCCAAATGTTTTAAATGATTTAGTTAAGTTGACTTAAACATTTTTTCCAAATGAATTGATACTTTTAAATTGAGTCAACATACATTTATGGATTACACGGACTGTACCAGTCAGTTCTCTCAATTAAAAAAACAACCCCAAACTAGTTTTGACAACGTAAAATTATTAATTGTGGTTAAAGTTAAAAAAACTAAAAGAAGTTGAATCAACTCTTGATTATAAATTAAACTAACTTAAAAACATGTTGGTATAACAAGAGAGTTTAATTTGGGATAAAATATGGTAATGTTAAGACAACAAATTTTGTTTTTTCATTTAACTCAAAATTTTAATGCAGCCCTTTCACTCGTATTTTTAAGTTAAAACAATATCTTTTATTTTACAGTGTAGAGGGGTATAAAAGCAGTCTTTAAGCTTGGGCATCAAAGCGGACTTTTAGCCTATCACACTTACGTATTTCTAAACAAATTCTGTCTCAGTTGAGTCTCAAAAATTCTGTTTGCATTTTATTTTCATTTCATTTCTAATTTGGTTGCCTCATTGAAACTAAAGTAAGACGGGTTCCAGACACTTGCTGCGACAGTAAACTGGGTGTGAACTGTGTAGAGCAATTCCTGCAACACAAGTGTGAGGACCTGCAGTTCTCAAGAAGAATTACCTTTGGAAATGCTTTAGGACATTTTGGAAAGTACCTTGTGAGGGATGTAACGGCCCAGTGAGGTACTGGCTTTAACCCACAGTCACCTTGCATTTACATTCACCCACAGGAAATTCACTGCAGTAAACACTTAAACTCATATCTACCATAATTGACTCAACCAGATTAAAACAATAATATTTTGGGACTGGGATGAACATTTGGGTCGACATCATCGGGCTAATCCATGACCTCTTCTTTGGTGTAAGATTTTCAGCCTTACTCTCTACAGTTCAAGTAAACAGATTTAGCTTCAAAATACACATACAAACAGAACAAGAACTAATCACATGGCCCAGTTTGCCCCAGTGAACCACCTTGAGTGGAGCATAAATGTGGCTGACGGAGCCAGTTAGGGAGAGCTGAGAAGACAGCGGAGCAAAGAGGCAGTTACAAGCTGCCGTTTCTGCCCAACTTATTGAGCCTCTCTGACAGGTAACCCCGACGGGCTGTTAGTGGTCGTTGTTAAGAGGGTCAGGAGATGCAAAGTGAAGCGCAACATAAACGAGTTTAGCAAAGACAGGTTTGTAATAATAAAGGCTGCCCCTTGGCAAAAGCTGTAGTTCAAGGAGGATGTTTTCAGCCAGTTGATTGCCTGGGAGAGATCTGGTGTTGTGTGTAGCAGCTACCTGACATTCCACACCTGTGCTGATGTAAACCGATCCCTCTCTGTGCACATATAACCAGTAAACATTATACCTGTGTGTGTGTGTGTGTGTGTGTGTGTGTGTGTGTGTGTGTGTGTGTGTGTGTGTGTGTGTGTGTGTGTGTGTGTGTGTGTGTGTGTGTGTGTGTGTGTGTGTGTAATCTCCAGGACCTGTCCACTCTGCAGTGTGACGTGTGTATCTTGGTGTTCTCAGTGACCGACAGGAGAAGTTTCCACCGCACCGCCCAGCTCCGCCTCCTCCTCAGGGAGTCCCAGCCACAGATGCCAATCATCCTGGTGGGCAACAAGAGTGACCTCGTCCGTTCCCGTGAAATCAGTTCAGATGGTGGGTAGAGCATGATGCCATACCTACAGCTGTGTTGTGTGGCACGCCTCTTTCTCTGACATGGTAGACTGATAAATAAATGTGGCCAATATGGATTTTAGTCTAGTCTTATTCCAAATGTATCTTGTAACCATATAATGAAAGAACAGAGACTGACTTTTTAACATTGTTGCCGTGAGGATGTTTATGCTAGGATTGTATGGCCCTCTGCATGAAGGTGATTCTTGTAAGTTCAAACAAAGTCAGCTTGTTTCACTTTCTCTGATGGCATTAAAAGAGATCTGATGCCACACAGAGAAAACCCAGACAAAGCTCCTCAGATAAAAAATGAACCTTCTTCATATTTTATTTATTTAGAAGCTCGATTTAACCAGGGCAGTGCGGCTGAGAGTTTTTGTTATTATATTTAAATGAAGGCAGAAGGATATTCCTTTAGGGAATACACACAAACAAAAATGAATAAAAAAACTCAAAAATTTTAAAGGTTCATATAAAGCATTATTGCCAGTCTTCTCTAACAAGCATGACCAAAAAGTTAAATGAATTAGGGCTTTTTTTCTGGTCTAGAAACAACTGATGGTGTATGTTTTTAAGAGGAAGGAACTCAAACAAAAAGGAAAGCTAACATTGCTCAAGAAAGCTTGAAAGAGCTAATATTCACCTAAAAACAAAACGACAAGAGGTTTGTTGTTGATTCGCATCAGTCCTTTTCTTTGGGACTTTTCTCATTCCATCCATCCTCTTCCTTTTTTCCGGGATCGGGTCCTGGGGGTGCATCCTGAGCAGAGAAGCCCAGAACTCCCTCTCCACAGGCAAATGGGCAAGCTCTTTCAGAGGAATATCAGGGGTTCCCTGGCCATCTGAGAAACGTAGTCTCTCCAGCATGCCCTGGGTTTTCCTTTGGGTCTCCTCCTGGTTGAACATGCCCAGAAAAACCTCACCAGGGAGGCATGCCAGGAGGCATCAGATACCCGAGCCACCTCAACTGGTTCCTCTTGATATGGAAGAGCAACGAAACGCCTCCGAGCCCCTCCTGGATGAATGAGCGTTTTACTCTATCTCTAAGGGAGAGCCCAGACACCCTGCAGCAAAAACTCATTTCAGCTGCTTGTTTCCACAGACTCATTCTAGCGATTTTTGGAGTAAAGTGAATTACATCATGTAATACCTCATTGGAAAGCTCTTTTTGTGTCCTTTTTGATACCGTTGGAATTATTTTTATTCAATCAGTCATTCAGAAGTTATCGTCTCGTCTCGTCTCGTCTTCCTCCGCTTATCCGGGTCCGGGTCGCGGGGGCAGCATCCCAACTAGGGAGCTCCAGGCCGTCCTCTCCCCGGCCTTGTCCACCAGCTCCTCCGGCAGGACCCCAAGGCGTTCCCGGACCAGATTGGAGATGTAACTTCTCCAACGTGTCCTGGGTCGACCCGGGGGCCTTCTGCCGGCAGGACATGCCCGAAACACCTCCCCAGGGAGGCGTCCAGGAGGCATCCTGACCAGATGCCCAAACCACCTCAACTGGCTCCTTTCGATCCGGAGGAGCAGCGGTTCTACTCCGAGTCCCTCCCGAATGTCCGAGCTCCTCACCCTATCTCTAAGGCTGAGCCCGGCCACCCTACGGAGGAAACTCATTTCGGCCGCTTGTATCCGCGATCTCGTTCTTTCGGTCATTACCCAAAGCTCATGACCATAGGTGAGGATTGGGACGTAGATCGACCGGTAAATCGAGAGCCTGGCTTTCTGGCTCAGCTCCCTCTTCCCCACGACAGATCGGCTCAGCGTCCGCATCACTGCAGATGCCGAACCAATCCGCCTGTCGATCTCCCGATCCCTCCTACCCTCACTCGTGAACAAGACCCCGAGATACTTAAACTCCTCCACTTGAGGTAGGACCTCTCCCCCGACCCGGAGGTGGCAAGCCACCCTTTTCCGGTCGAGAACCATGGTCTCAGATTTGGAGGTGCTGATCCTCATCCCAGCCGCTTCACATTCGGCCGCGAACCTACCCAGCAAGAGCTGAAGGTCAGAGCTGGATGAAGCTAGGAGGACCACATCATCCGCAAAAAGCAGAGACGAGATTCTCCTGCCACCAAACTCGACACACTCCACACCACGGCTGCGTCTAGAAATTCTGTCCATAAAAGTGATGAACAGAACCGGTGACAAAGGGCAGCCCTGGCGGAGTCCAACCCTCACTGGGAACAGGTCCGACTTACTACCGGCTATGCGGACCAAACTCACGCTCCTCTGGTAAAGGGACTGAATGGCCCTTAACAGAAAGCCACCCACCCCATACTCCTGGAGCGTCCCCCACAGGGTGCCCCTGGGGACACGGTCATAAGCCTTCTCCAAATCCACAAAGCACATGTGGATTGGTTGGGCAAACTCCCATGCCCCCTCCATCACCCTTGCAAGGGTATAGAGCTGGTCCACAGTTCCACGGCCAGGACGAAAACCACATTGCTCCTCCTCTATCTGAGATTCAACTATCGATCGGACCCTCCTCTCCAGTACCTTGGAGTAGACCTTTCCAGGGAGGCTGAGGAGTGTGATCCCCCTATAGTTGGAACACACCCTCAGGTCACCCTTCTTAAAGATGGGGACCACCACCCCGGTCTGCCACTCCCTAGGAACTGCCCCCGATGACCACGCAATGTTGTAGAGGCGTGTCAACCATGACAGCCCTACAACATCCATAGCCTTGAGATACCCAGGACGAACCTCATCCGCCCCCGGGGCTCCGCCGCTGTGTAGTTGTTTGACTACCTCAGCAACTTCTGCCCCCGAGATCGGACAGTCCATCCCCAGGCCTCCCAGCTCTGGTTCCTCCTCGGAATGCGCATTGGTGGGATTGAGGAGCTCCTCAAAGTATTCCTTCCACCGTCCGACTATAGCCTCAGTTGACGTCAGCAGCTCCCCATCCCCACTGTAAACAGTGTGAGCGAGTTGCTGCCTTCCTCTCCTGAGGCGCCGGACAGTTTGCCAGAACCTCTTTGGAGCCGATCGATAGTCTTTCTCCATGGCCTCACCAAACTCCTCCCACGCCCGAGATTTTGCCTCGGCAACTGCCACTGCTGCACCCCGCTTGGCATTCAGAAGTTATGATGCGGAGAATCTAGAGTGAGAAATAACGTGGTTCTTGTGTTCCTCTAGTTTCACTTCAGAAGAAGTCTCTCATGTTCGCTTTTCTGTCTGATAAGCTAACTCTGTTCGACACACACGCACGCACGCACACACACACACACACACACACACACACACACACACACACACACACACACACACTAACCATAGACTCAAATGTTAATGTAAACAAAAGCTCTGATGTTAAAATCCATCCAGCAGACGTGATGCAGGCTGAATAAAAACCTACAGGTAGATGAACACAGACTCCTACCGACAAGCAACACACCGGTCTGTCGTCTTTATGGCAGCGAGTTAGAGGGGCAGCCAATCACACGTTAGCCTGACGCGGCAGAGCCAATCAGTGAGCTTGTGGGTGGGTCTAAGGGAAAATAGGCTTCAGCCTGAGGAGGCTGCCTCCACATGGTCCTAGTGCCTGCAATGTATCCAAGGGCACTTTGGGCACTTTGGACAAAAGGGGCGGGTGCTCAAGCAACCTCCCCCCCCACCCCACCACCCGCCCCACCCCCTGCACGTGCCTGGTCTGCTTACTAACTATGGGACTGTAGGGCAGTAGGGTTCATTCAATTTCAAGTTTACAACATTAAACTTAACATGATCAGTCCATTTTTTAAAGATGCATTCCCCACAGGCAAAGCAAAAGCAGATCATGCAATCATTAAATCACAGTTCAATCCAGAAGATACATCAAGCAATATCTTCCAGCAAAGCAGTTATGACAAGACAGCAAGTCACAGTTCTGATTAGTTCAGTTCATCTAATTTATTTAGAACATTAAACATCCAAGCAGCATCAACTTTACTCCATCTAGCAATGGCATCACAGGCAGATGCAGAAACTAAAGCTGGACAGGTCATAATGGGTGGTTATTGTGCAACGCGGGATAAGAAAAACACCAGAACAACAACTATAAAGAAGCCTTTTTGCTTTTGTTCTTTTGAGTTCCCTTTGAGAAGCTCCAAATAAAAAATCTCAAAGAAAAGGAATTCTTGTAATTACAGTTATCTACACTGACACTTCAACTGAAGACCAAAATGGAAATGTGTACTTAAAACCAGCACCCACTCACCCACACATACACACAAATATTTTCTTAAAGTAAATGAGAGTTGTGTACAACGTGCAACCTGCAATTTACCCTGTTCTACGTCAGAGCTCTTCTGCTTTTACAGAGATCCAATTTTGATCAGCAAATTCGTTTTATACACTTTGGCATGTAAAGTTCCACAAACACTTTTTGATTCAACTCATAACCCTGCAGTTATGTGTTGGTCGAATAATATTTAACCCCTGATGCCTGAAGGATAAAACATTTTTTTAACAGAGTGAAATCAGATGTTTTACCTTTAATCTCTGGAAATATCCATTGAAACGTTGTTGAAAATGAATAAAAGGATGTTCAGTTGTTGAAAAATACTGGTAGCTTTGTACCATTGCCATAAAAATTGAATCTAAAGTACATAAGGCATGGGTCTTTGGGGACGCCATGTTAGACCCCATGTTTTTTTTCTAGCCGGCTCGTGGTCCTGCGCCTGTCAATGATGTCACACTAGATGACTGGCTGGACGTACGCCTTACAGAAGTTACATTACCATGTTCTAAATTTTTTAGGCAGAAGAAAACACAAATTTATTATTGTAGTGTGATGACTTTATCGGCAGGCGCAGGACCCTCAGCAGATCGGGAAACTACAGTGCCAGAAAACTACAATTGACATTGCATTTCCTCCTCTGTTCACATCAGGCGATAATGTTCAACTAGCGCTTCTGCTCACGTCTACTGTTTTCCAAACCCCGCCACCCCACCCCTGTGCCCTTGCTGTGTGTGTGTGCGTATGTATATGTGTGTGCGTGCGTGC